AAATACTTCAGAATAACAATACTTCAAAACACTCAACAGTGATTCTTTACAGGAGCTAATTTTTCACTACCTCCATTTTTGCGTTAGTCCACCGCGGTATCTCGCACACCATGTGGAAGGTTTTCTTCGCCTCGTCGGCGAACATCGGAATATCGTGCCATGGAGAAATGAAGTGTCCTCCGTTCGCTGAAACATGTGTCGTTCAACGTGCCTCATCGACCAACAAGAGGTTAAAACTTACTGTAGAAGATACGATAGTCAAAGGTATACGGGGAGCCGCGTTCGACTATCTTCACGTCATCCATGACCGCCAACAGAGCCAAACACCGAACAGACGAATAACGAGCAGAAACAAGGGCGGCCAACGAATGGTGGGCGATTGCCCTACCGATCCTGAAAATGCTCATTTCTTACCCCAGTCTTATCAAAATGCTCGCAAAAAATCATTTACACCTACCATACCTAAGAAGCGCTTACTGTTGCCAACAACGAGCCGCCTACAGCCACTTTGGCTTAATGCTCAAGGACAAAGATGTAACATTGAACGTAACGGGTAAAATATAGCGCTCCTATACCATATTCTAGACTCCATATGTAGAATTGAATGGAAATGAAAATGAGACTGTAACCGTGTGAATATTACTCTGTTTTACCTTTCCTTAATTAACTGATATTTGCATTAATTTGTTATTACGGAGGTACGAGTGGGAGGCTAATCTGTACCGTTTATTCCGCCAGGATCGTTTTGATGGCTTTTCGTTTTTAACACTTTATCTGCAGATACCAACAAGACGATAACGTTGTCAAGAGGGTGTTGCTCATTTTAATTTATCTTTATTCATAATTATTGGTCTACTCAAGAATCATGGAAGATAAACGCACTGGTGAAATCATTTCATGACACCTTTGAGAATATAGTGATTGGCCGTGATAAACCGACCTAGCTATTTTAACTCAAAAAGCAAACCTCAGCCAACATTAGACAGTTACGTTTGCAGCGAAATAAATGGATCTCTGTACACTATTTGAAATAGCTTTCTATAGAAAAGGACACTTACACGACAAATCGATGGGCAATGATTGAGAGCATTAATTCATTTTAGTTTCAGAGTGACGCTTGGAGATGATCGTTTATTGCTGTGCCATGAGTTTTCTCAAATAATAG